GGATCACCTGAAGAATCATCACCCCAGCTTATTTCACCTAACGATTAAACCACCCTAACCTAACTTAACCTAACCTAAACCTATTCTATCCTAACCTAAATCTAACCTAACATATCCTAACCTAACCTCATCCTCTCACAATAGTTTTAGGGTGGTTTAATCGTTAGGTGAAATAAGCTGGGGCGATGATTCTTCAGGTGATCCGAAAATAGTTCTCCATAATAAAAAAAAAGAAGAAAAAGATAAATAAAATAGAGTAACGCCGTGACTCGATCTCGGTCCTCTAAAATAGCAAACAGAAAGCTTATCCACTGGACCGCAGTTCGGCCATAAATTTGACGTTTTTACGATATTTGAACGTATAATCATGTTCGAAGCTTCAAATGCTTCAATGAAGCTTCGTGACGTCACTCTCAACCTTCATATATAAAGTCTCGACGAACTCGTTTTCGGCGCATTCTTCACTCACTAGCTGCAGCTGACAGGGAGGTAAGACGCCCCACACCCCGCACCTCTAGTCTCCATTATATACGTGTAATTTTTTTCCGACTGTCTACAGTCAATATGGCCAAGAGAAATGGTTATTCTTTTGGTTAGTGTTTATATGTACTTAATTATGGCATAATAAATGCTGATTTAAGTAAAACTTACCAGCCGGTTGTTGCAGTTCACTTGGCTTCTAGAGACGTATCCCCAAGTTTCACTGGGCCGTAAGGCCTATGATACCTACTTTGCAGCTTAAACAAATACATTAATATGGGTTAGTATTATATTAAGTGTTTCTCTAACGTCTAACCAGTAATTTATTAACGTTTTAAAACTTTTAGGCAAATATACCGCCAAATGAGCCATAACAACCGAGCCGAAACTATAAACCGGTGGCGAGTAACGAGCGTAAACCGCACATCAGTATTTGCGTTATAATTAACCAGTAAGTGAGTGCAATGACGAGATTGGGTGAAATTATTGTATTTATTTTTTTAATTTCACATTTTCCCTCTTGCTTCGAAGCCCAGCCCACTTTTGGCGGAGCCGGGTGGTCATAACTCAATAGTTACGCATTTCATCTAACGTGCATCACCAAAATATAACTGTTTTGTGGAATTACGATACAATATTTTTCACTGGCTATTTCTTTGCTTCCTCTTTAACTAGGATTTCTGGGAGTTGAAACCGAATTTATTACGGGTTTTAGCCGGGCGAAGCGAGGCATGCTAGGCGAGGCAGGCAAGAAGCCAGACAGGAAGCGAAGCGAGGCGAGTTGAGGTAGGGAGCCGGGCGAGGCAAGGGAGCCGGCGGAGGGCGAGGTTGAGGGGTTTCAGAATATTTGTACAGTGTATATTAAATTTTTAAAAGTGGACAACCATGGATTTTAGCATCGGAAAAACACATTGGTCAACAACCAAAAAGCACCAAAACTAAACTAACGTAACGTAGCCTAACAACGTAACATAGCCTAACCTGGAGGTTCGTTGGTTGTCTGCTTGTAAAAAAAAATACCGGGTTCCTAAAATAAATGTTAAGATGTATATAAAGACACCGTTAAAATGTATTAGTAAATAAGGCCGTAACCATCTAATTAACCTCTGGAAAATGTTAAAATGTTTGGCTCGCCTGAAGATTCATCCCCCAGCTTATTTCAACTGAAGATCAATTTAACCTAAGCCAATCTACGTATTACAATGTGTTAGCGAATCTTTCTTTTTCAGATCATGGAATGACTGCAGATTCAACTACAGTACAAAACCCTCTGTTATTGGTGTGGTGCAGTATGTGGTCAGTGTGGTGCAGTATGAGGACACAAGTGAAGTGTGGAGCAGTATGTGGGGACAACAGACCACGAGTGAAGCTTCTCACAATACACAACGGTGTTCCTTCAGGTCAATTTTAACGTTTTGTGTGAAGGTGTGGGTGTGCGTAGCTTGCTATGGTATCATTTAATGTTTGGTGAGGGGTTGTGGGTGGATGTTGCTTCCTGTGGTGTCGTTTCATGTTTTGTGAGGGTGTAGCTGGGTGTGGCTTGTTGTGGGGTCGTATAACGTTTTGAGTGTAGGTGGGTTGGGCTTGTGGTGGGGTCATTTAACGTTTTGCGAGAGGGTGTGGGGTGTTGACACTTAAGGGGGCATGAGGGAGGGAAGGTCTAGTCAGCTGTAATAAACCTTGTGTATAGTGCATGAAGCAGTGTAGTACAGTACAGTATAGTATAGTGTAGTCGTACTGTATTGGTAAACTAATGTGGAGGTAATGATTTATGTAAACAGTTGGGGACAGTTTAAGTACATGTGATCTAGTTGCAAGTTTAATTTTCATTGTACGTAAATTACAACTTTAAACACGTTGCAGGTAACAGCTGATGTACGTGAAGGCCAATGGAGAAGTGACAGAACCTCGAGCAAGATTTAACTACCAGCATGTTACTTCAGCCTCATCAGTTAAGTTACTTGTACAATATATCTTGGCTAGTATCTTTATCCAATAAACCACTCGACACTGCTCCTACACTGGGCAGTGGAGGGGGTGTGTGGGGGGTGCCTTGCTGACTGTTTGAGGCCTAATAGGTCTGTGTGTAGACCTAGTGATCAGTGTGTGGGGCCTGGCGGACACTCTTGGAGGACTGTGTTGGAGGGCTATGGAGGACGATCTGTAGACAGACTGATATAGGAGTAAAATTAATATTAGTTGTAGTGACAGTAGAAATATACAGAACTGTATGCCTATTGATTATTAGTGAAAATTAGTAGCAGTAGTAAACATAGTAAGTTAAACAAGTTGTTGTGGGTGGGTTTCAACTAACTTTACTAACCATAACCTAACCTAAGATAAACTATTCCAAGACATAAATTCAGTATTTTTTTGTCACTTACGTTAACTGATCATGAATTCATAAGTTAATTTTGAAAGAAGTTAAATTTGACTTTTGTAAATAATTAATTTTTGAAAAATTATGTACATTTGACGACAGTTTAACTACATGTTGTTTAGTGGTAGATGGATATTGTATGTTTAACATTCATTCTACATAAATGCCAACTTTAAACATGTTGCAGGTGACAGCTGATGTATGTGAAGGCCAATGGAGAAGTGACAGAACCTTGAGCAACATTTAACACCCAGCATGTTACTTCAGCCTCATCAGTTAAGTTACTTAAATATATCTTGGCTATTATGGTCATCCCATAAACTACTCAACACCGTGCTTCTACACTTGGCAGTGGAGGGTGTGTGGGGGGCCTGGCTGACTGTGTGATGGAGGGTTCTGGAGGACTGTGTGATGGAGGGTTCTGGAGGACTGTGTGTGAAGGAGGGCTCTGGAGGACTGTGATGGAGGGCTCTGGAGGACTGTGTGTGAAGGAGGGCTCGTGAGTACTGAGTGGACAGATTGGTCTTCGAGTAAAATTAATATTAGTTGTAGTGACAGTATAAATATACAGGACTACATGCCTATTGGTTATTAGAGAAAATTAGTAGTAGTAGTGGTAGTAGTAGTAAATACAGCAAGTAAAGCAAGTTGTTTTGGGTAGGTTTCAACTAACTTTACTAACCTAACTTAACCAGCCTAAGTTAATTAAACGTAATAACGTAGACTGAACCAAATCCGTAATAAGGTCACCGCGACCCGTAGCTGGGGACGTCAAAGGCTCGGTCGGATTGGTACACCGTCAATGACTCAGCTCATCTTGGAGGGAGGGGGGGGGGGTGGCGAGCTACCTCCGGTGTCCTGGCTGAACTGCGAGAGGGGCAACCACTGGTGTCCTGCCTCCCTGCGAGATGGTCGTTGATCTACCCGACCCGTCTAACGGGCGCCTGGTGCGTCTTGGGCAGATCCTCAACTGGCTGCCTCTGGCCGTGCACGTGTGGCGTTTGCGTGGTTGAGACCCTTTCCCCCCCCACTGGGAAAAGGGCCTTCCCCCGCGCATTACCACGTGAGTGCACATGTCGCCGCGCTTCTCTGGGCGCACACGTCGCCACCTCAGCTTGTTTGCAGCTGGGTGGGTGGAGCGGCCCAAAAAGCTCCCATCTCGCCTCCCCATTTTCCCTTCCTTCATATCTTTGAGTTATATATAAAAATAAGTGTTTTTATGTCTACTTAAATAAATTATATACAATATGCCTATATGCCTATCGATTGATTTTTATCCTAAGAGTTATCTGATAAAAATGTGAATTTATTAGGAAGGTACTGGTATGGAGGGTAGGACATGGAACACTATGAATTAGTGCTTTATTTATAGTAATAATTATATTAACAAAATGACAACTCATAATTTATGGTTAAGTGAAAAAAAATTGTAGCTCAGTCGTATTTAATATTTGGTTAGGTAGGTTAAGTTTAAGTTAGGGTAGGTGAGGTTAGGTTAGGTGAGGCTAGGCTAGGTTATTTCCATGTTTTGTGCCAGTTATTCACTGGCAATGGGGTGCAGCTTTTTACAACCATGACGTGCACCAAGTCTGGGGCTGGTGCCCCCACACACTTGGCAAGCTCAAATATTCTGCAAGATAAGTTTTAAAAAGGTTTATGTTCAGTTTTTGAAGGGTCACCTCAAAAGACTTGTCAGAAGCATACCAGTATATATATATATATATATATATATATATATATATATATATATATATATATATATATATATATATATATATATATATAAAAGCAATTAATTTTATATATGTTGGTATTGTCAGATGGTCATAACTTAATCTGACCTGATCACCAACCGTTGTGTGCTATTTAAAGATTAGTAGGTCATTACCTAATACCTGACCATTGTGGACCTGGTCTCACCCCTGTATATATAATACCTTGATTTGTGTATTACTCAATCTAGCCTGTATCACCTGAAGATGAATTACACGAAAGCGCTTAGAATCCTTGTGTTTTCTTTCCTTGTGGGTTATCAGCATATACCTAGATCACGCGCAACCTACAGGGATTACTTGCATATATATATATATATATATATATATATATATATATATATATATATATATATATATATATAGATAGAAGGTATGACTGTAGCCTTGTGACTAGCCTACAGTATTTTAGGCCTACTTCAAAATGTTTTTTTCTGTGTTTTCGATCAACTGATGTAAGTGCACAACAGCATCGTAAAGTATAACCATGTTTTCGTACTCCATTTTTATGGCAAATTTACATTTTTTAAACTATATACACTCTTTGAATATTACTGTATTGTAAAATCCTACAAAACCCGTCATACATTTCTTTTGTGATGCATATATGTACAGTAAATGATATTAGTCTGTTCTGCATCCCCTTTGGCCATAGGCATTGGTGATGAAAGCATAAAAGCCAATGCTGCTGCTATTGTTATACAGCATTAATTTCTTCTGTTTCTTTCAGAACTATAAAAACAGATATAGTAGACCGAAAGCTTAAAAAGACAGGTGGTGGTCCACGAGAAAAAAAAATTATCAAAAGCTTCAGAAGAAATTGCCTTAACAGCATCACTGATGAGGGCCGAGTTAGCAGTGGCTGGTGATTTTTACGAGACCTTCCGCAGTCACCCAGTAGATGAAGAAATAATTCCCTATAGAATGTGCAGATAGGTGAGAATATTTATTGATTTATACAGTTGTATGCATTCTCATTGATACCATTGCTCAATCTCCTTTGGCTGTGTAAAAGTCAAACGGCAGCAGTGACCTACCTTATACTGACTTTTTGCAGTTTTGCCTGTTCCAACCCCAGGGCCATCAACTGTGCTCACAAGTCATTGTTCCTGCCTCGACAGTGAATGCTCCTACCTCACCAGTGAATGCTCCTGCCTCACCAGTCATTGCTCCTGCCTCACCAGTCATTGCTCCTGCCTCACCAACACTGAAGCAGGTTCAGGTACATTCAGGAGCCTGTGCGTGAGTAACAGACGTGACCAATCGTCCAAGCGGCTAACAAGCCAATCAGTGGTGAATAGGATAAAAGTATATACATGCTGTTAGAAATTTATTTTCTTACATTTTACAATTAAATAATTTGATTTAAAGTAAATAAATCTACATTAATTTATTTTGTCAAAAATTTTCTTAAGTTAAAAAAGCCTTCAGAAGTATAGCGGCTAATATTTTGCTCACAAGTTGCCGCGCTTCTCTGGGCGCACATGTCGCCGCTCTTCTCTGGGCGCGCACGTCGCCACCTCAGCTTGTATGCGGCTGTGTGGGTGGAGCGACCCAAAAATGTTTGGGCGCGCCCCCACACATGCCGTCGTCCAACGGGCGTGTTTCGCCTTGTAGTAGGTGACCGCGACCCGTAGCCGGGGACGTCGAAGGTTCGGTCGGATTGGCACCCCACTGCCGACTCTCTCAGCTCGTCTGAGTGGGGGGGGACGGGGGAGTTCCGCACGACTGGGGGCAACCGCCAGTATCCTGGCTGTCCTACGACAGTCGTAGAGAAGAGCGCCGCCTCCACCTCGACTGTGGGGGTTCGCTCTCGCGACGTGCAGAGGGTCGGTGATCCACCCGACCCACCTCGGAACACGGACCATGGAGTCTAGCGTGTGTAGGAGTCGATGGGCTCACTGAGCCTGAAGGCGAGATGAGGGCAACGGACGCCTGGTGCGTCCTGGGCAGATCCTCAACAGGCTGCCTCTGGCCACGCCCGCGCGGCGTTTGCCGGGTTGAGACCCCCAGGGTCTCACCCGGCGTATTGCCGCGCGGTCGGGGTGGTTGGTTGGGGGTCTGCCCAGGACGCACCAGGCGCCTGTTGCCTTCATCTCGCCTTCAGGCTCAGTGAGCCCATCGACTCCCACACACGCTAGACTCCGTGGTCCGTGTTCCGAGGTGGGTCGGGTGGATCACCGACCCTCTGCACATCGCGAGAGCAAACCCCCACAGTCGAGGTGGAGGCGGCGCTCTTCTCTACGACTGTCGTAGGACAGCCAGGATACTGGCGGTTGCCCCCTGTTGTGCGGAACTCCCCTCTCCCCCCCACTCAGACGAGCTGAGAGAGTCGGCAGTGGGGTGCCAATCCGACCGAACCTTCGACGTCCCCGGCTACGGGTCGCGGTGACCTACTATGAGGTGAAATACTCCTGATTAGTCCATGAGAAATCAAAGCCTCACACGCTTTGGTCTCTGGGCGCGCACGTCGCCACGCTTCTCTGGGCGCGCACGTCGCCACGCTTCTCTGGGCGAGCACGTTCCAGCAGTTTTTCTCTGGGCGTGCACGTAGCCATTACAGTTTCCGTCACAGCATATGCTGCAGCCTTCAATGCAGTGGCTCATCGTGTCTTGACCGAGATTTATTCCACCAGTCAATGCGATAACAGCTCGTGGTTCAACATGACCGGGGTGCATGTCTCATTCTAGTACTCGAGCAAACTAAGAATAGTTCTTGCCACAAACTCGAAGCAAACAGGGTGACCCATTCTATCCTCACCTAACAATTGATGATGGTGGGTCCCACCCGCTTGAGCCTGCGTCCCGGGCCAAACGAGCAGTGCGTTGAGTTAGTCTTCGGGCACCCGCGCTACTGATTTTGGTGATATACTGCCCCACTCAAACTTCACACCAGATAATGAGCGGCATGCCGACTCGTCGGCGCATGCTTCTCTGGGCGCACACGTCGCCACCTCGGTTGGGTGGGTGGAGCGGCCCAAAAATGTTTGGGCGCGCCCCCCACACACGCCGTCGTCCAACGGGCGTGTTTCGCCTTGTAGTAGGTGACCTTGACCAAGCATCTGTTACCCAGCGCATAGCAGGTCTACTAGCAACACAATAAATGCGGAAAAGAGAGGCCTGGGGTGAAATTGCTGCCTCATTCAACGCCAGCAACTCTGACCAACTCCCTCGCACAGCCAAGCAGCTCAAGAGGAGCTACGGACACTTAAAAAGGAAGTAGAGTATATGCTTATTAATGTACGGTGTTTTTCCATTAGGTTACTAAATTAAGTAGGATTAGAGTATTGAAGTGACGGGTCATGTGAGGAAGCTCGCCACCTACCGAAGTAGACAGAAGGAAAGCTCCCATCTCCTCTCCATTTTCCCTTCCTTCATATCTTTGAGTTGTATATAAAATTAAATGGGTGTTTTTGTCTAATTTCATAATATCTATATGCCTATTGATTGATTTTTCTCTTAAGAGTTATCTGATAAAAATGTGAATTCATAGGGAAGGTACTGGTATGGAGGGTATAACAGTAAATAGGTGCCTCTGCCATACTTTTAGGTTCTCTTGTTTGAAATCTGTAATGCCAATTTTTACCCTGACTATATACAAGCTATATGGTTTCAGAGCAATTACCCCCCTCCCCCCCCCATAGGACAACTGCCCTCTGGACAATTACTCCCCCCCCCCTTCCTTGCCAGTGAATAACTGACACAATCATGGAACACTAAGATATAGTGCTATATTTTCTTTTCTTTTTTTAATAATTATATACACAAAATGACGACTCATAATTTATGGTCAAGTGAAAAAAAATTGTAGATCGGTCATATTTAATATTTTGTTAGGTAAGGCTAGGCTAGGCTAGGCTATTTCAAGTTAGTTAGGTTATTTCCATGTTTTGTGCTAGTTACTCACTGGCAATGGGGGGGGCAATTGTCCTAGACCCAAGCTATGCAGCATATAACTCTATATAGCAACATTTTACGACCACGACGTGCACCAAGAAAAATGTGCAAGTCTGGGGCTGGTTCCCCCACACACCTGGCAAGCCCAAATATTCTGGCAAGACAAGTTTCAAACAGGTCTGTTCAATTTTTGAAGGGTCACCTCAAAAGACTTGTCAGAAGCATACAAATCCTCATATCTATATATATTATCATATAATAATTTTTTTGCAGATATGACTGTAGCTTACAGTATTTAAGGCCTACTTCAGAAAATGTTTTGTTTGTTTGTTTTCGATCTACTGATGTAAGTGCACAACAGCATCGTAAAGTATAACCATGTTTCTGTACTCAATTTTTAATGGCAAATTTACAGGTTTTAAAACTGTCTACAGGCCCTTTAAATATTGCTGTATTGTAAAATTCTACAAAACCGTCATATATTTCTTTTGTGATGCATATATGTACAGTAAATGATATTAGTCTGTTCTGCATCCCCTTTGCTCATAGGCATTGGTGATGAAAGCATTATAAAAGCCAATGCTGTTGCTATTGCTATACAGCATTAATTTCTTCTCTTTCTTTCAGAAATATAAAAACAGAGATATAAAAGACCGAAAACTTGAGGGCCGAGTTAGCAGTGGCTGATGATTTTTACGAGACTTTCCGCAATCATCCAGTAGATGAAGAAATAATTCCTTGTGGAATGTGCAGGTAGGTGAGAATATTTATTGATTTATACAGTTGTATGCACTCCCATTGCTCAATCTCCTTTGGATGTCTAAAAATCAAACGGCTGCTTGGCTGTGCGAGGGAGTTGGTCAGAGTTGCTGGCGTTGAATGAGACAGCAATTTCACCCCAGGCCTCTCTTTTCCGCATTTATTGTGTTGCTAGTAGACCTGCTATGCGCTGGGTAATGGATGCTTGGTCAAGGTCACCTACTACGAGGCGAAACACGCCCGTTGGACGACGGCGTGTGTGTGGGGTCGCGCCCAAACATTTTTGGGCTGCTCCACCCACCCAACCGAGGTGGCGACGTGTGCGCCCAGAGAAGCGTGCGCCGATGAGTCGGCATGCCGCTCAATATTTGGTGTGAAGTTTGAGTGGGGCAGTATATCTATCAAATGTTAACGCAGGTGCCCCAAGACTAGCTCAACCTTTATCATTTGTGGGGACATGGGCTCAAGCGGGTGGGACCCACTATCATCAATTGTTAGGTGAGGATAGAATGGGTCACCCTGTTTGCTTCGAGTTTGTGGCAAGAACTATTCTTAGTTTGCTCGAGTACTAGAATGAGACATGCACCCCGGTCATGTTGAACCACGAGCTGTTATCGCATTGACTGGTGGAATAAATCTCGGTCAAGACACGATGGGCCACTGCATTGAAGGCTGCAGCATATGCTGTGACGGAAACTGTAATGGCTACGTGCACGCCCAGAGAAAAACTGCTGGAACGTGTTCGCCCAGAGAAGCGTGGCGACGTGCGCGCCCAGAGAAGCGTGGCGACGTGCGCGCCCAGAGAAGCGTGGCGACGTGCGCGCCCAGAGAAGCGTGGCGACGTGCGCGCCCAGAGAAGCGTGGCGACGTGCGCGCACAGAGAAGCGTGGCGACGTGCGCGCACAGAGAAGAGTGGCGACGTGTGCGCCGAGAGACCAAAGCGTGTGAGGCTTTGATTTCTCATGGACTAATCAGGAGTATTTCACCTCACAGTAGGTCACCGCGACCCGTAGCCGGGGACGTCGAAGGTTTGGTCGGATTGGCACCCCACTGCCGACTCTCTCAGCTCGTCTGAGTGGGGGGGAGGGGGGAGTTCCGCACGACAGGGGGCAACCGCCAGTATCCTGGCTGTCCTACGACAGTCGTAGAGAAGAGCGCCGCCTCCACCGCGACTGTGGGGGTTCGCTCTCGCGATGTGCAGAGGGTCGGTGATCCACCCGACCCACCTCGGAACACGGACCACGGAGTCTAGCGTGTGTGGGAGTCGATGGGCTCACTGAGCCTGAAGGCGAGATGAAGGCAACAGGCGCCTGGTGCGTCCTGGGCAGACCCCCAACCAACCACCCCGACCGCGCTCGCGCGGCAATACGCCGGGTGAGACCCTGGGGGTCTCAACCCGGCAAACGCCGCGCGGGCGTGGCCAGAGGCAGCCGGTTGAGGATCTGCCCAGGACGCACCAGGCGTCCGTTGCCCTCATCTCGCCTTCAGGCTCAGTGAGCCCATCGACTCCCACACACGCTAGACTCCGTGGTCCGTGTTCCGAGGTGGGTCGGGTGGATCACCGACCCTCTGCACGTCGCGAGAGCGAACCCCCACAGTCGAGGTGGAGGCGGCGCTCTTCTCTACGACTGTCGTAGGACAGCCAGGATACTGGCGGTTGCCCCCAGTCGTGCGGAACTCCCCCCTCCCCCCCCACTCAGACGAGCTGAGAGAGTCGGTAGTGGGGTGCCAATCCGACAGAACCTTCGACGTCCCCTGCTACTGGTCGCGGTCACCTACTACAAGGCGAAACACGCCCGTTGGACGACGGCATGTGTGGGGGCGCGCCCAAACATTTTTGGGTCGCTCCACCCACACAGCCGCATACAAGCTGAGGTGGCGACGTGCGCGCCCAGAGAAGCGCGGCGACGTGTGCGCCCAGAGAAGCGCGGCGACGTGTGCGCCCAGAGAAGCGCGGCGACGTGTGCGCCCAGAGAAGCGCGGCGACGTGTGCGTCCAGAGAAGCGCGGCGACGTGTGCGCCCAGAAAAGCGCGGCAACTTGAGCAAAATATTAGCCGCTATACTTCCGACGGCTTTTTTAACTTAAGAAATTTTTTGACAAAATAAATTAATGTAGATTTATTTACTTTAAATCAAATTATTTAATTGTAAAATGTAAGAAAATAAATTTCTAACAGCATGTATATACTTTTATCCTATTCACCACTGATTGGCTTGTTAGCCGCTTGGACGATTGGTCACGTCTGTTACGCATGCCCAGGCTCCTGAATGTACCTGAACCTGCTCCAGTGTTGGTGAGGCAGGAGCAAGGACTGGTGAGGCAGGAACAATGACTGGTGAAGCAACAATGACTGGTGAGGCAGGAACAATGACTGGTGAAGCAACAATGACTGGTGAGGCAGGAGCATTCACTGGTGAGGTAGGAGCATTCACTGTCGAGGCAGGAACAATGACTGGTGAGCACAGTTGATGGCCCTGGGGTTGGAACAGGCAAAACTGCAAAAAGTCAGTATAAGGTAGGTCACTGCTGCCGTTTGATTTTTACACAGCCAAAGGCGATTGAGCAATGGTATCAATGAGAATGCATACAACTGTATAAATCAATAAATATTCTCACCTATCTGCACATTCTATAAGGAATTATTTCTTCATCTACTGGGTGACTGCGGAAGGTCTCGTAAAAATCACCAGCCACTGCTAACTCGGCCCTCATCAGTGATGCTGTTAAGGCAATTTCTTCTGAAGCTTTTAATATTTTTTTCTCGTGGACCACCACCTGTCTTTTTAAGCTTTCGGTCTTCTATATCTCTGTTTTTATAGTTCTGAAAGAAACAGAAGAAATTAATGCTGTATAACAATAGCAGCAGCATTGGCTTTTATAATGCTTTCATCACCAATGCCTATGGCCAAAGGGGATGCAGAACAGACTAATATCATTTACTGTACATATATGCATCACAAAAGAAATGTATGATGGGTTTTGTAGGATTTTACAATACAGTAATATTCAAAGAGTGTATATAGTTTAAAAAATGTAAATTTGCCATAAAAATGGAGTACGAAAACATGGTTATACTTTACGATGCTGTTGTGCACTTACATCAGTTGATCGAAAACACAGAAAAAAAAAATTTTGAAGTAGGCCTAAAATACTGTAGGCTAGTCACAAGGCTACAGTCATACCTTCTATCTATCTATCTATAGAGAGAGAGAGAGAGAGAGAGAGAGAGAGAGAGAGAGAGAGATATATATATATATATATATATATATATATATATATATATATATATATATATATATATATATATATATATATATATATATATATAGACTGGTATGCTTCTGACAAGTCTTTTGAGGTGACCCTTCAGAAACTGAACATAAACCTTTTTAAAACTTATCTTGCAGAATATTTGAGCTTGCCAAGTGTGTGGGGGCACCAGCCCCAGACTTGGTGCACGTCATGGTTGTAAAAAGCTGCACAGCTTGGTTCATGTACAATTGCCCCCCCCATTGCCAGTGAATAACTGGCACAAAACATGGAAATAACCTAGCCTAGCCTAGCCTAGCCTCACCTAACCTCACCTACCCTAACTTTAACTTAACCTACCTAACCAAATATTAAATATGACTGAGCTACAATTTTTTTTCACTTAACCATAAATTAGGAGTTGTCATTTTGTTTATATAATTATTACTACAAATAAAGCACTAATTCATAGTGTTCCATGTCCTACCCTCCATACCAGTACCTTCCTAATAAATTCACATTTTTATCAGATAACTCTTAGGATAAAAATCAATCGATAGGCATATAGGCATATTGTATATAATTTATTTAAGTAGACATAAACACACTTATTTTTATATATAACTCAAAGATATGAAGGAAGGGAAAATGGGGAGGCGAGATGGGAGCTTTTTGGGCCGCTCCACCCACCCAGCTGCAAACAAGCTGAGGTGGCGACGTGTGCGCCCAGAGAAGCGCGGCGACATGTGCACTCACGTGGTAATGCGCGGGGGAAGGCCCTTTTCCCAGTGGGGGGAAAGGGTCTCAACCATGCAAACGCCACACGTGCACGGCCAGAGGCAGCCAGTTGAGGATCTGCCCAAGACGCACCAGGCGCCCGTTACCTTCATCTCGCCTTCGGGCTCAGTGACCCCATCGACTCCTACACATGCTAGACTCCGTGGTTGTTGTCCCAAGACGGGTCGGGTAGATCAACGACCATCTCGCAGGGAGGCAGGACACCAGTGGTTGCCCCTCTCGCAGTTCAGCCAGGACACGGGAGGTAGCTCGCCACCCCCCCCCCCTCCCTCCAAGATGAGCTGAGTCATTGACGGTGTACCAATCCGACCGAGCCTTTGACGTCCCCAGCTACGGGTCGCGGTGACCTTATTACGGATTTGGTTCAGTCTACGTTATTACGTTTAATTAACTTAGGCTGGTTAAGTTAGGTTAGTAAAGTTAGTTGAAACCCACCCACAACAACTTGCTTTACTTGCTGTATTTACTACTACTACCACTACTACTACTAATTTTCTCTAATAACCAATAGGCATGTAGTCCTGTATATTTATACTGTCACTACAACTAATATTAATTTTACTCGAAGACCAATCTGTCCACTCAGTACTCACGAGCCCTCCTTCACACACAGTCCTCCAGAGCCCTCCATCACAGTCCTCCAGAGCACACAGTCCTCCAGAACCCTCCATCACACAGTCCTCCAGAACCCTCCATCACACAGTCAGCCAGGCCCCCCACACACCCTCCACTGCCGAGTGTAGAAGCACGGTGTTGAGTAGTTTATGGGATGACCATAATAGCCAAGATATATATAAGTAACTTAACTGATGAGGCTGAAGTAACATGCTGGGTGTTAAATGTTGCTCAAGGTTCTGTCACTTCTCCATTGGCCTTCACATACATCAGCTGTCACCTGCAACATGTTTAAAGTTGGCATTTATGTAGAATGAATGTTAAACATACAATATCCATCTACCACTAAACAACATGTAGTTAAACTGTCGTCAAATGTACATAATTTTTCAAAAATTAATTATTTACAAAAGTCAAATTTAACTTCTTTCAAAATTAACTTATGAATTCATGATCAGTTAACGTAAGTGACAAAAAAATACTGAATTTATGTCTTGGAATAGTTTATCTTAGGTTAGGTTATGGTTAGTAAAGTTAGTTGAAACCCACCCACAACAACTTGTTTAACTTACTATGTTTACTACTGCTACTAATTTTCACTAATAATCAATAGGCATACAGTTCTGTATATTTCTACTGTCACTACAACTAATATTAATTTTACTCTAATATCAGTCTGTCTACAGATCGTCCTCCATAGCCCTCCAACACAGTCCTCCAAGAGTGTCCGCCAGGCCCCACACACTGATCACTAGGTCTACACACAGACCTATTAGGCCTCAAACAGTCAGCAGGCACCCCCACCCCCCACACACCCCCCACTGCCCAGTGTAGGAGCAGTGTCGAGTGGTTTATTGGATAAAGATACTAGCTAAGATATACTGTACAAGTAACTTAACTGATGAGGCTGAAGTAACATGCTGGTAGTTAAATCTTGCTCGAGGTTCTGTCACTTCTCCATTGGCCTTCACGTACATCAGCTGTTACCTGCAACGTGTTTAAAGTTGTAATTTACGTACAATGAAAATTAAACTTGCAACTAGATCACATGTACTTAAACTGTCCCCAACTGTTTACATAAATCATTACCTCCACATTAGTTTACCAATACAGTACGACTACACTATACTATACTGTACTGTACTACACTGCTTCATGCACTATACATAAGGTTTATTACAGCTGACTAGACCTTCCCTCCCTCATGCCCCCTTAAGTGTCAACACCCCACACCCTCTCGCAAAACGTTAAATAACCCCACCACAAGCCCAACCCACCTTCACTCTCAAAACGTTATACGACCCCACAACAAGCCACACCCAGCTACACCCTCACAAAACATTAAACGACACCACAGGAAGCAACATCCACCCACAACCCCTCACCAAACATTAAATGATACCATAGCAAGCTACGCACACCCACACCTTCACACAAAACGTTAAAATTGACCTGAAGGAACACCGTTGTGTATTGTGAGAAGCTTCACTCGTGGTCTGTTGTCCCCACATACTGCTCCACACTTCACTTGTGTCCTCATACTGCACCACACTGACCACATACTGCACCACACCAATAACAGAGGGTTTTGTACTGTAGTTGAATCTGCAGTCATTCCATGATCTGAAAAAGAAAGATTCGCCAACACATTGTAATACGTAGATTGGCTTAGGTTAAATTGATCTTCAGTTGAAATAAGCTGGGGGATGAATCTTCAGGCGAGCCAAACATTTTAACATTTTCCAGAGGTTAATTAGATGGTTACGGCCTTATTTACCAATACATTTTAACGGTGTCTTTATATACATCTTAACATTTATTTTAGGAACCCGGTATTTTTTTTTACAAGCAGACAACCAACGAACCTCCAGGTTAGGCTATGTTACGTTGTTAGGCTACGTTACGTTAGTTTAGTTTTGGTGCTTTTTGGTTGTTGACCAATGTGTTTTTCCGATGCTAAAATCCATGGTTGTCCACTTTTAAAAATTTAATATACACTGTACAAATATTCTGAAACCCCTCAACCTCGCCCTCCGCCGGCTCCCTTGCCTCGCCCGGCTCCCTACCTCAACTCGCCTCGCTTCGCTTCCTGTCTGGCTTCTTGCCTGCCTCGCCTAGCATGCCTCGCTTCGCCCGGCTAAAACCCGTAATAAATTCGGTTTCAACTCCCAGAAATCCTAGTTAAAGAGGAAGCACAGAACTAGCCAGTGAAAAATATTGTATCGTAATTCCACAAAACAGTTATATTTTGGTGATGAACGTAAGATGAAATGCGTAACTATTGAGTTATGACCACCCGGCTCCGCCAAAAGTGGGCTGGGCTTCGAAGCAAGAGGGAAAATGTGAAATTAAAAAAATAAATACAATAATTTCACCCAATCTCGTCATTGCACTCACTTACTGGTTAATTATAACGCAAATACTGATGTGCGGTTTACGCTTGTTACTCGCCACCGGTTTATAGTTTCTGCTCCGTTGTTATGGCTCTGTGGGGTATGAGATTGTTTGGTTCACACTCAGGATGGAATGGAGAAAGGAAACTCACAATGTGCTCTCTATATACATGTTGTATTGGATGTACAATGCAGCTTGGTGCTGGGAAGGCAGCATGGTTACAAGCGTGATGTAGAGAGAGCTGGTTGGTGAGGACGCTCAGAGAAGGACAGCTTGTGGGTCGCCATGCTCGCCAGCGGGAGAGAGGACCGCCAGGCAGGCGGAGGAGGGAGGGCCGCCAGGCAGCGGCAGAGGAGGAGGTGTTGCTGGCTGTGGCTGTAGGTAGAGAGAGCGGCAGATCACCACGAGGTCAGGTCTTAAATAGCGGGGGGTAGGCGTGGCTTAGCAGTTGACCCCCGCTCCGTGGTGTATGGCGGCGCTGGTTGACCTAGACCACGAGGCATACACTGGGAAATTGGTGGGGTCGGTTAGGCAGCGACAAACAGCGTTTGTAGGGGAGAATTCCACTACAGCTCATTTGGCGGTATATTTGCCTAAAAGTTTTAAAACGTTAATAAATTACTGGTTAGACGTTAGAGAAACACTTAATATAATACTAAACCATATTAATGTATTTGTTTAAGCTGCAAAATAGGTATCATAGGCCTTACGGCCCAGTGAAACTTGGGGATACGTCTCTAGAAGCCAAGTGAACTGCAACAACCGGCTGGTAAGTTTGTTACTTAAATCAGCATTTATTACGCCATAATTAAGTACATATAAACACTAACCAAAAGAATAACCATTTCTCTTGGCCATATTGACTGTAGACAGTCGGAAAAAAATTACACGTATATAATGGAGACTAGAGGTGCGGGGTGTGGGGCGTCTTACCTCCCTGTCAGCTGCAGCTAGTGAGTGAAGAATGGGCCGAAAACGAGTTCGTCGAGACTTTATATATGAAGGTTGAGAGTGACGTCACGAAGCTTCATTGAAGCATTTGAAGCTTCGAACATGATTATACGTTCAAATATCGTAAAAACGTCAAATTTATGGCCGAACTGCGGTCCAGTGGATAAGCTTTCTGTTTGCTATTTTAGAGGACCGAGATCGAGTCACGGCGTTACTCTATTTTATTTCTCTTTTTCTTCTTTTTTTTTATTATGGAGAACTATTTTCGGATCACCTGAAGAATCATCGCCCCAGCTTATTTCACCTAACGATTAAACCACCCTAAAACTATTGTGAGAGGATGAGGTTAGGTTAGGATATGTTAGGTTAGATTTAGGTTAGGATAGAATAGGTTTAGGTTAGGTTAAGTTAGGTTAGGGTGGTTTAATCGTTAGGTGAAATAAGCTGGGGTGATGATTCTTCTTTTTCAGTGGCTTATCGTGAGTGTCTGTGTGTGTATTAATTTCCGGTCTTCATCCCCTGTGGTCATCCTGTTATCTTATCTTATGCTTTTCTTCCTGCGGATGTTTATGTTGTTCTTTTTCAGTGGCTTATCGTGAGTGTCTGTGTGTGTATTAATTTCCGGTCTTCATCCCCTGTGGTCATCCTGTTATCTTATCTTATGCTTTTCTTCTCTATTCATCTTCTTTATCTCATTCTGTGCATTCATTCACTCTAGTAGACTAGTGTGTGTGTGTAAGGCCAATACTCTCTCTATCTTTGCTCTCTTAATTTTCCTCTATCTCCTTCTATCCCCCTTTCTTTCTTGCCCTCTCTCTATCCGTGTTTAACTCACTGGTGGATCATTGTAATTGCTACTTAAGGACGTTTGATTATTACCTAACCAGTCACAATTCACTTTACGTTTTCGTCTTATACTTAACGGGAATTTAATAGAGCTTAACATTAAGGGAAACACTAATATTAACATTATAACAGTAATTTTTCGAACATATTTAGTAAGAATTTGATAGAGAGTTAAACCTCGATTTGTTACACTGACAATTGATGTGACCATTACAACTGTGTCGGGAATGTAATCACGGATTTCCCCGACACTGACAAACAGGATGTACTCCGTTTACACAAATACATTTGCGTGAGCTCACCACTAATTGAATATTTTTAATGTTAACGCAGTATTTTAAACAGTAATGCAGAACCTCCAAAAGTGTTTGCTGACCTGAATCCACACAGCTTTATTTACTTTACTTTATTCTCTTCGCCACTGATCAGCCTGTTAGCCACTTGGGCGCTTGGTCATGACTCACGGTTACTCACTGTTGGCAAATACTATAGGTATGTACTGGTTCCAGACTGTATCTGTACCTGCGCCAGTTCACAACTCTCACTCAAAACAAGTTTGTCATGAAAGTTTTCTGAAAGTGTGGCTTCTTCAATCACTGTAATATCTTAACCGATTGTGAAGTTATATAACAATTATTGTCTAAACGAGACACCCGCGTTTTGTGTTTCGGATAGCCTAAGGTAAATTCTGCAGAAAACCAGACGGACGAACAGACACTAGCATAATATAATGAAAGTACCATCATGTCTGAGGGTTGGCACCCACGACCCTTTACTCTAAATGTTTTTGGGCTGTGTTTATCAATCTTCTAGATGCTGTATCTCTCCGGGGACGACAACTGTTAAAATGATTCATCC